CTCCAAAGCGGCTACGGCGTTCCTTGCGCCCGGCTAGTATCTTCTCCACCTTCATGTCCGAAAGCGCCCTGGTGGGGCCAGTGGACCATCTGTGCCCCCAGAGGGGCCCGAGAGCAGTCGGTTACCACAGGCTGGCTCCAGGGCCGGGGTGTTTTCCAGCCCAGGTGGCTCCTGTGCATGCCTTTCCCGTATTATCTGGGCTTCCATTTGCCTTTATCAGACAGACAAGAAGGCCCTCCCTCGGTCTCCTGTGGGAAGTCTGCCTCCATCGATGGGGAATCACAGCAAGCCTGCGAGGTCTTGGCTTACTGTCCATCTCCACCGTGGATCACAGACCCAGGTCTTTGTCCAGCCTACAGAGGGCACAGTTTATATCTAAAACAATGACATTCTAGAAGGCCAGAGGCTGAAAGTCCTCCTTCCCACAGTCACGGGCTGGGTGATGGTAACAGAGGGTCCCACCTGCGATTCCCATCTCACCTCCATTAAAAACGGGTGGGAGGCTGGGCGCTGTCGTGGTGCACCACTGTAATCCCAGCCGCTCGGGAGGCTGAGACAGGAGGGTCGTGAGTTCAAAGCCAGCCTCAGCCAAAGCAAGGCGCTAAGCAACTCAGTGAGACCCTGTCTCTAAATAAAATACAAAATAGGGCTGGGGATGGGGCTCAGTGGTCGACAGCCCCTGAGTTCAATCCCAGGTAACAAAAAAATAAAAAACAAAAAGCGAAAAACAAAACAAAACAGCTGCATTTACATTCCACTAGGAGACGCCCATGGGGGTGCCCGGTGGGTTCCCTAAACCAGGAAGTCTCCTTTCAGCCCCGGCTCGCCCAGGCTCTGGTCTAGGATTCTGATTGACAGCAGTTCCTGCCGGGTGCCCCCCGGGGACAGCTCTGGCCTGTGGTCTCCACTGCTCTCCCCATCCTGGCCACCAAGCCCCTCTGGACTGACCAGGAGTTCCTAATTCTGCCTGGTCATGGTTTCTCTGCCGCAGCTGGTGCCTCCTCTAGCTCTGCCCACGTGTGGCCTGTGGGAGGGAGAGGCCTGGCCTCGGCTGTTGGCCAGGGGACCCTTCCCAGGCACAGTGGGCCCCCTCCCGTGGAGGAGGCTCAGCCAACGCCATCTCTAGCCACAGCCTGAGTTCCTGGGTCAGGCTGCTGGTGGCCCTGTGTGGCCTCCTTCCTGGCCCGACACCGGGGAGCGTGGGGTGTCCTGAGGAGTGGGCAGCTGGACACACCACAGGAACCTCATCTCCTCAGGGAGTTGGGCCACTTCCTGCCTCCCACACGGCAGAGCAAGGAGGCATGTTGTCCTGTCTTGGCTACCAAGACTCTAGATGGGCCGTGAGACGGGAGCTCGGGAGGCAGGCTGGGGACGGGGACCTGGTGAGAGTCAGAGGCCAGCGGGGACTGGAGGGGTCAAGCGTCCCCCTTCCCTGACGGAGAATCCCAGACTCAGTAAGGTCGAAGCAAGGACTTTCCTAAGGTCTCCCCCCTTCTCTTGCATCAATTTAAGTGGCTCTATGTAGCTTCAGGGTGGTGCCTGTTTTGGGGGGTCCTTGTCAAAGAGCTGCAATTTAATGCCATCGGACCACAGATGGAGCCACACCACCTGGACCATCCCCGGCCAGGGCTGTCCTGAGTTCAGAGCTGGGTCTGCATTGAAGAGAGGCCTCCATCTTTGGCCTCCTCTGCTCTGCTTTCCCCTGATTGAATTATTTTGCGGGGGTGGAGGAGAGGTATACCAGGGATTGAACCTAGGGGTACTTTACCACTGAGCCACATCCCCAGCCCTATTTTTTCTTTTCTTTTCTTTTTTTGTATTTTATTTAGAGACAGTGTCTCACTGAGTTGCTTCAGGCCTTGCTAAATTGCTGAGGTTGGCTTTGAACTCATAATCCTCCTTCCTCAGCCTCCAGAGCCACTGGGATTACAGGTGTGTGCCACTGGGTCTGGTTCCCCAGCCCTTTTTATTTTTCGTTTTGAGACAGGTTCTCACTAAGTTGCTGAGGCACGATCCTCCTGCCTCAGCCTCCCACGCAGCTGGGATTACAGGTGTGCACCACCACGCCCAGCTCATCATTATTATTATCCCACCACCACAGTTTTACTCTAGCAGCTGCAGTTTGCATGCGTATCCGTATCTGCTTGGACCCCCAACCCTGCCTCCTACCAGTCTCCTGCCTTCCCCTGCCACACTCCTGCTCATCTTCCAGGACGCTGATTTTGGCTTCGATGAAGCAGCACCTTTGCTGAAGGCCACTCTGCCCCTCTGACCACAGTTAGCTACTGTCCTCTGGGCTGTCACACCGTTTACTCCCAGGGCCGGTGTCCCTGTTTGACTGCTCACATCTCTAGTGGAACATGCTCCGGGGGGGGACCCGAGGGCCCCAGTGAACTGGACCTGTATTTGATACACCTACCTGGACTACACATCTGGCAGGAAGTCCCCAACAGAAATTCGTCACACGCCTGAGTGACTGAGCTTTGAAGGAAGACATGTCCGGATTTTAAGACAACAGGGAGGGAGGGTCAGCTGAACACCAGACTTTGCAGAAACACCTCTTTCACAAAACAAGCTGACCCTGTTCACCCCAGGGTAAGGTATCAGGGGACAAAGACTCACCGCATTTTGCATAGTGGATACCTAGCAGAAACTCAGAGAGTGAGTGTTGGGAGTCTCCCTGAGAATTCCCCGGGCCTTTCAAACATGGCAGTGGGCAAATTGCCATTGGGCAGCGAGAACTCCCTGGGCCTTTCAGATAAGGAGCCCCTAATGCAACATGGCGACGGGCAAGTTGCCAGTGGGCGGATAACAAGTTGTTTTGAAAACCTTCTAATTGGCCCTCCCGTCTTCCGTACCCGTGGACAGTTCGTGCCCCCCATGAATCTCATGCAGGGCGGACGTGCGTGCACCGTAGGTGATGATCTGACCTTTACTATGGTTGGCCCCGGGAGCTTCCTGGTTTAAGATAACTGACTCTCAGTTTCTATATAAGCTTGCACCAGCTTGCAGTAAAGTGCTTCATCTTTGTCACTGCTATCTGTGTGTGTGCATTTTAATCTCCGACGATGAACCTTGGCCTTTCAATGAGGGTGGCACAGGGGCGCCCTGAGGTGGAAAATGCTGTTGGGAGCAACAGAAAACTGTCCAAATTGGAGGATTTTTTTTTTTCCTTTCAAGCATCCTCAATGAGGTTTGAAGGCATTATTACTTGCTTTCAGGGTTTCCTTTCCTCCCTATTCTTGCGTCCCCTGTGGCCAGGAGGCAAAGGGGGTGGGACCCGGGATGGAGGTGACAAGAAACCAATTACTTTGGGTCTTGGCCGGCCACCGCGCCTCATTGGCTCAGCTCGCCCTGTAGGGGGCGCACTCTCACTCCTCAGTCTGCACGGATAAGGGAATGCAGAGGGATCCCGGGAAGACTCACGTCGTGCACTGGGAAGCTCTTAGATATTGGAGGAGACAATTCCCAGCTCAGTCCCATAGCTTTGGCGGTGCCCAGGCTGGAGGAGGCTGATGGTGGGTAGACAGGTCCCAGGGGCATCGGCAGCTTCCCATCTGCTCCAGGGAGGCAGGGAGACAAGGGCTGGGCTCTGGGATCCCACAGGGGGCTCGCCTCTTTCCCAGAATAGGTTTAAATTCTTGGTGTCTGACTTTACCCGACAACCTAATGTAACCAGGAGGGAAACCACCCTCAGCCCAGAGCCAAGGGCAGAAGACAAATCCAGTCTCTGTGATATTCTAATGTGCTTTTCTGGGTGCTCTTGGCCATAGCATGATTGGTAAATTGTTCTGCCCATGCCACCAGAGTTGGGTTTTTACTGTGGGGGGGGGGGCGTCTAACTGAATAACAATAAAAAAATATCAGTAGGGGCTCTACATGGTTGTTTAATGATGTTAATTAAAGAATGAGTCACGTGACCTTCTCATTTTCCTATATGTGTGCAGGATTATTCTTTCAACTTAGTGAAGAGGCTGAAAACCTTTCTTATAACCAGAGAGTAGGCAGGCTGGGCAACTTAGTGAGAAGCTGTCTCAATAAATGGATGAATGAATGAATGAATGAATGAATAAATAAATAAATAGGGCTAGGGCTGGGGCCCAAGAAGTTGAATGCCACTGGGTTCAATCTCCTGTATCATCCCCCTCTTCCTCACCAAAAAACCCCCACACAACCACAAGAACAAAAAGTTAATTTAAGGTCTCTTGGGTCATGTGTCTTTTGTTATAATCATGCAACTGTGTCATTCTATAATGACACAGCACGGAAGTGGCCACGGACAGTATGTGAATGAGTAGGCGTGCTTTAATCATACTTTATTTATGGACATTCAAATTTGACTTTCAAATACTTTTTTTGCGTCACAAAATATCTTTCTCCGGGCTCCCTTTTCGACCATTGAGACGTTGGAAGAACATTTTTAGTTCTCACAGACAAAACCAGGTGGCAAGACCCACCCTGCCAACCCCATGCTCCCTGGAGCAGGGAGACAGCAAGGGCTTCCAAAATAGAAGTGAGTGTTTTAAAGTTTTCTGAGCAGCTTCAATATCCACGTGTAGGGCAGGCATGACCTGGCCCACGAGCAGCCCTCAAGGGAACCAAGCCCAGGCTTGCCTACCTGATTCAGTGAAAGGATCTGGGACTCCAAGGGGCCTTCCATGTTCTAGAATTCACCTGGGCCCACATTGAAACCAGCTTAGCCATACAAGCTTCCATTCTACTGAGACGCAGAGACCCAGCATCCTAGAGTGACAAATCGCATCCCTGGGGTCCTTAACCACTCTCCTCCTGGAGGCCACCCTCAGGGGAGCACGGGGGTCCTCCTTGATGTGGTCCAACTTCCTAATGTTGTTGGAGAGAGTCACTTATTCTCCCACAGAGGAGCACCAAGGTGATAAGCAATGGCCAGTCTGTCTCTGGGTTTTCCCTGACACATTTCCTCTGCGGGGCCAGCCATGACCTTGGGTATTGCTTATTTCCTTTTTCCTAGATGGCAGGGGCTGAGGTCAGGGGGAGGTGGGGCTGGGCTTGCTCATGGGGCTCCTGCATGGGATCCCCATCTCTTCTGACAATATTAAGAATAGATTAAGAATAGAGAGTGAAGTGAGCTTCATAGAGCAGCTTCCCCAGGATGACTGGTAGGTATTAAAAAAAAAAAAAAGTAACTTAGAATGATTTTTTTTTTTGGGGGGGGGGGGGGGGCGGTAGCAGCATCTGCCAAAACAGTTTTGAGGTCAGGGTTGGATTCCGCTATTGTAAAACTTTTCATTGGTGGGGGTTGGTGGGCAGTGGACTAATATAGCTTAGTTCCGTGGCTTGTGCATAGGAGATTCTCCATCAATGTTAACAAAACAAACGCATGGGCGAGGGTTGCAAAGAGGATTTCTTCTGAATGGGAATTCTGGTCTCCTTCCCACTGCCTGCATCTCAGTCTTTGTAGATACGCGATACGTTGTGTGTGCGTTGGGTGTGGGGGAGGACTTCATTTCTCTGGCTTATTGGTAAACCAAATCCAGTCTGAATTTTATGATACCAGACTACACGAGTCTTTTTCAAAGGCTGCCACTGGCTTAGCATTATCTGAAAAGAGGAATCCAGCTGCCCTGGGCTTTGCAGAGCCCTCTCAGTCAATTTGCAATTAGTCCTGATCAGAGAGCACTGGGTATGGAGAAGGAGTCAGCCCAGCTCCGCATGAGTTCCTGGGTAGTGGAGAGAGAGAGAGGAGGAACTGGAGGTTCCTGGAAATGGCAGAAGAGGGAGGTGGTCAGGTCTCCAGCTGGCTCTTTATCCTTGTGAGACAACCTGGGTCTGTTGGCAATTTTTAAGTTCCCATCCTGGGTAATATTTTTTTTTTTTTTTTTTTCCAGAGGAGAAGGAGGGAAAGTTGGAGAGCAGCTGTTCTCTGGAAGTGATTAAACCCTAGAGAGATACACATAATCATAGAAAATGGAGAAAAAGATGGTTTATAAGCTCAAAATTAGTTCCATGCCTTTGACACTAAAACCACTTCTCCTCTGGTGTGGGAAGGACATCTCTGGATCATGGCACTAGACCTGGAGTTTTAAAGGTAAGCTTGACTGACCTTTGAACCCATAGCACCCAGCCACGAAGCTCAACTCATCAGTTGTGGGCGCTTCAAACGTGGAGGGGACAGTGAATGAGTGAGAAGAAACATGCTGAACAACAGAAGCTTTTTAGGGTAGATGGTGACTTTCATCTTTTGACAGTGCCACCCAGCCACCAGCCACCCAGAGAAGAGTCGTCATCTCTGCAGAAAGCAGCAGTGCCCCCTCCCCCCCAAGGATGGTGGCTTGACAGGTGTGAAATGTGCTGAATTTCAACCTCTTTGCTGAAAGTCAATGGAAAAATGTGTGACCGCTGCTCATGTCTCTGGCTTACTGGGCCTTCAGGCTGTGTCTTTTAAAGGGGAACGACGTTTTCAGACCATTGGGGAACCCTCCGGTTTTGGCTTGAGCAGCAATTCCTGACGCTGGTGGTATGTTGGAATCTCCTGAGAGGTTTTCAAGCATGCGAGTGCACAGGTGCAATTGCACACATCTGAGTTTTGGTGAGAGGGACCCTGGACAAGCTCCCCCAGGGGATCCATAAGCGGGAAGCGGAGCCAAGACACCACTGTGTTGGAATTTGAGTTTACCTGTGCTGGAGTAATGACTTCTGTAGCTTCTCCTCCAGGTGCGACCCAGCAGGCAAACTGGGGGCTTTGGAAGGTGGAAATGATAATCCCGTGGCTTACAGGATTCGATTGGAGTCAGCATGTTTTACTTTTGACAGTGGCTTCGATAAGCCAAGAAAATCCCGAGTGTGTATATTGAAAAGTTATTTGGTTGGATTAAAGCTTTATTGCTTTTTGCCAACTTCTGAATTGGGAGGAAATGATTAGTGTTGGAGAAATGTCATGATTTCCTTTCAAGCAAGATTTGGGTTATTATTTTTTGAATCCCCAGCTCCTAGCACGGAGCCTGCCATGTGGTACGATGTTCAAAATGCTAACGTAATTATAGTGGCTGCTGCTCGCTGGCTCGTCCTGTAACATTCAGCATTTTATATAGGGAATGGGTCAATCAGGGTCTCTTCATTTTATAGGGTATGAGAGGCAGAATTGTAGGATGGTCCACCATTCTGCCCCGTCTTGTGCACGTCCTAGACGATCCCCTCTTCTTGTACGCGACTACAACGACCTATGGCTTCTGGGACTGTGTTACAGGATGGAAAAGATAAAGGCATTTTGTCACTAAGGACCCTAATCAGTTGATTTTAAAGTGACCAAAGGGGGACATATCGGGATGGGCCTGACCTAATCAGACGAGCCCTTTAAAAGAGAGTCCAGGTCTCAAAGCCTGCTGGCCCTGAAGAAGCAAGCCACTGACAGATGGAAGGCTGCCAGGAAGTGGCCCCTGCCAACAGCTTGGAGTCTCAAATAAAACGTCCAGCAGAAGGCTCAGCGAAGTTGTGCCCAGATAGATCCCTGACCCACAGAAACTGTGACAGAATGAACAGGTGTTAAACCACCCAATGTGTAGCAAGAAAACGTCAGCCCACGAGTGAAGGAAGAGCCATGCGGAGAGGCTAATGGACCGGTCAGCTGTTAAACCAGGACTTGCTCTGGCCCTTATAAAACGAAGCTCAGGGTCGCCGGCTCTGTAAGCTCTAAAGTGGGCGGTGGCCAGGGCTGACTCCACCTGTGAGCTGCGTGCTGTGAGGGGCGGGGCTGCTGCATGTCCCACCTGTGGTTTCCAGACACACCTTGGGGGAGAAAGGGTACCTCCCAGATTCTGGTCCCCAGCTGTCCCTCTGTAACTCAGGAGCTAGAGAAGGACAGGAGAATGCTTTTATCAGGACCGGGAGCCAATCTGCTGAGTGCTAAAGAAATCTCGAGAAAAGGACGTGGCTCTTGTCCCAAGGCTGTGGTCCCGTGGTGACACCCACCTGCCTGGCTCCAGCTGAGAGGGTGCTGGCCTGGTTTTCTGATCAGATGCAGGATGGAGACCTCCTCATCCCTGTAGTTACCCATCTTGAAAGAAACGCTCTCCGTGACCTCCAGTAGTAATGTACCCTTCAATCCAGCGTTTCTGGTTTGTTAAGGAGACAGAGAGAGAGAGACAGGGATGGAGAGCAGAGAGACAGACAGACAGCTGGGGATTTGGTTCCTCTGGGACCCTCCTGGGATTCTTGGCGGGACCCTGGCTCGGCTGGGAGGAGGAGGAGGCTCATTTTTGTGAGTGGACATGGGTTCTAAGCGGTTCTCAGGGTGGGAGCCAGTCACCACCCTGCCACCTCGTGCAGAGGCCAGGGGTGTCCCACCAGGGCCCATCATGAGTATTTGGAAGGTGAGCTTCACGGTTGCCCATGGTGTGAACTTGGCCGGGTGTCAGTTAGCCGCTGTGTGACCTTGAGGAAGCCACCTGACTTCCTTAACCTTTGTTTCTTCTTACGAGATCAGGAATAAGAGTGCCCGGGCAGCCCTGTTGCTCCGTATCCGTTCCCCCGTCTTCCTCGGCAGGAGGATCTCCACTCTGGGATGGACCCTGTGTTTCCCAGCCCAAGCCACTCCAGGGTTTTGGAGTTGGAATGAGTTTGACAGCTCTGGCTAGTGACAAGTAAGAGTCCTTTGGTGGGAAAGAGGGGGGGGGGGCCTTGAAAAGTGGTTATTTTCTTGTACATAGATAGGAAGTGCCCAGAATTCCTCCTGCATCCACCTGTTATCCTCTTCCTGCCTGGAATGTGCCTGGGATGCACCAAGGTGAGCAGCCATCTTGTCAACATGAGATTAAGGAGGAGCAGAAAGCTATGGATGCCGGCTCTCTGATGGGTCACGGAGCCACCTACCAGCCCCCACTGCCTTCCTCCAGACAGACTGCTAAGTGGAGGGAGTGCCTTTCTCTTCCTATACTCCTCCTTTTTATCCTTCAGGCCAAATTCACTTCTCTCTGATATAAAAAAATGTGCTTTATAAAGTAAATTCCCCAAGCATTTGAAAACACTTGGAAACTGTCAAGTGTTAACATGTGCGGGGAGTAATCCAAAGTCTTTAGCCTAAAGAAGAGAGGGCTCAGTGGGGGACAAGACAGTTCTGTCTCCTTCCTCCCTCCCTCCCTCCTTCCCCCTCTCTCCCTCCCTCCCTCCCTCCCTCCTTCCTCTCCCTTCCTTCTTCTCTCTCTCTCTCTCTCTCTCTCTCTCTCTCTTTCTTTCTTCTTTCTTTCCTGGATTGAACCTGTAGAGCTTTACGACTGCACCACATCTGCAGCCCTTTTTATTTTATTTTTTTATTCTGAGACAGGACCTCACTAAGTTGCCCAGGCTGGCCTCAAACTTACGATGCTCCTGCCTTGGCCTCCCGAACCGCTGGAATGGAATTACAGGCGTGCACCACTGCCACGGGCAGGACAGTTGTTTTCAATATCTGAAAGGCTGTGTTGTAGAGTTGGGATCAAACTATTTGGCTCTACCCCAGTGAGTGGGATTGGGACCTTTGATGGAAGCATCTGGAAGGTGGGTTTGGATTTGTCTACAGCACTAAGGGCCCTAGTTGCCAGAGACAGGGGCCCGTTTCAGTGCAAGGTCCCCGTCCTCGTTGTACTTTAGTGCAGATTGAACTACCTCTCACTGGACTAGGCACAGGGTAATGTGCTCTCGCGTTGGGTTCTTTGGTGAATTAGTTGGTGAGTTGTACAGTTATTTAGCACCTACTATGTGTCAGGCTTTAAGTGGTCAGACTATAACCTTGAAGATCTTGCTCCTCTATAACCATAAAGATCTAATAAAAAAAAAATCTCACCCAACCTTTTTTAATATATATTTTTTTTCAGTTATACATGAGCACAATATCTTTATTTTGTTTATTTACTTTTATGAGGTGCTGAGGATCGAACCCAGGGTCTCACATGTGCGAGGCGAGTGCTCTGCCGCTGAGCCACAACCCCAGCCCCTCACCCAACTTTTTGATTCTCGGATTCTGTGTGTGTTGTGAGTTCCGTTCTGCACCATGGAAGACCAGGACACCAAGACCTGCAGCGAGTTTCACGTGCCACACAGCTCACTCTCTCTGAGCCTCAGAGCTACCTGCTTTCCTGTATTTTCAAGTCTTCTGTTCCTTTCAGGAAGAAAAAAAAAAGAACAACAACAATAAAACCCCAATTGTGTCTGCCACGCCACCCAGACCCAGTTAGCATGTTTGGACAGGATATGCAGTTACCCAATATTGTCTGAAAGATGTGTTTTCCTGACTCTGGACAAATTGGAGCAGACTTTCCCTTTGATGTGCAATCTTCTGTCTCAACACACCACTAAACCAGTCAGGGTCACTCCAGGTGAACTGGGCTGGCACGAAATCATCACATAGAGACAGAGGAAGACCTTTTTCTTTGGGTTCTGTGACAGCTCTGCTGACCGAGCGGCCACAAAGGAGGCGAGAGAGAGAGAGAGAGAGAGAGCAGGCCTTGAACCCGGGCTTTTATTGGCTGTTCCATGGAATATTCTATCCCCCAAAGGGCAAAGGGGTAGGATTACAAAGGAATAGGTGAGTGTAACTCAGCCTCAGCAGGTGACATCTACTCCTGGAGCCATGCTTTGTTATCTGAGCTGGGTAACACCCAAGTCACTGTGACCTGGCCCTGCTGTGCCAGACTGAAGGCAGTAATTGTTCAGAACTCAGTGCATCAGGACTTAAAGGTGTCTGCATCCAGGGCAGCTCCTGACAATCTTCCAAATTGCCTGGTATCCTCAAGCAGAGGCAGATCATATGCAGGCACTGTGGTTCCACGGCCTATGACCCATGGTGCTCTGGCTAGGGAGGGCTGTGGATTCCTTGATCAGTCACTCTCACTATTCTCTGAGCTTAGATTCCCCCAAATTGCTGCGGAAACCACACATTTCCAAGCAAAACCATTTTTTTAAAAAATATTTTTGAGTCTCTTTTTTTTTCGGGCACGTGCACCCATCTCCCGCATGCTTAGGAATCCTCATCAGACGATGAAACTCAACCTGTCTTCTGCAGCGGGCCACCCCCAAGGCCAGCGGGCCACCGCTCCGGCCTCCTTCTCTCTGTGGTGCTTTGGGCTTGCATGATGGAGCACGGGCATGGGGCTGGCTACAGGAGCCTGCCTGACACTGGTTAAAGTATCTGCTGGAAAATTTACTTTGCAATTTCCTGAGCTTTCAGGGTCAGAAGTGGGTAGAGACCCCAGATGGGAGGAAAATCTATTCACTTTCAAGTGGGAGGAAAATAAGAAGCAGATAGGCTTGAGTGGGGGCAGGCTGTACCTTCTGAGCTCAGGCTTTCTTAGGAAGCAGACACTCACCTTCTCCTGAGATGATTGTCTTATTCCAAACAGGACCACCCAGGTAGGGGGGAGTGGTATTCAAATTCCCCCTCCCCTAACATTGCTCAGAGAAGGGAATGGAACCCTTTAGGTGGGCTCTGCATTAGTGTCTTTGACCATCTTCATCAGTTTTATTCACTGATATGTTTTCAGTACCTGGAACAGCGCCCAACACACAGTAGGTGCTTAGCGAATATTTGTTCAGTGTAAAAATGACTATTTCTGTTGCCTGAGTTCTCTCTAAAAATTCCTGTCAACTAGCTGACTCTGCATCAATGCCCAAAATGGAGGTTAAAAAATAGGGAAGGAAGCTTTGATCTCTGGACAGAATTGAAGAGAAATATAAACTGGGGCGTCTGGAAGAATAGGCGAGAGTCAATGTGGCTGTGCGGGTTGTTTGGGGGATTTCCCGTAGAGCGTCTGACAGGGGACAGGCAAGGGTCAGGAGTTTTCCCCCCCGCAGCCTTTGAAGTTGACATCTCTCTCTGAACTCTGTCCTCAGAGAAGATTTTGCACTTTTTGCTTCAAAGCCAAAGCTTTCATCCTAAGGTAGACGGTCTCCTCTCTCTTCTCTTCCACGTGTGCTACTTCTGTTCTCTCCATTTTCCTTACCCTACAATTCTCCTTAATTACTAGTTCCAGTCCTCGGCAGGAAGACTGGGTCTTTGCAAAAATAAAATCCATTTTCTAAGTTCTTCCTTATCACGTTCACATGTCCACAGTTTTCATGAGCCAGAACATGACTCAAGCTGGGAAGTCAGAACCGTGACTTTAAAAAAAAAATGCATAGCATCTGCTTAACTCAAAACTCGGTCTGACTCTGCAACCAGGGCCTGGAGATAGTTGGGAGAATTTATGTTCCCCTTCTGGCAGCTGCAATTTGTCACTCCTGTTAGCACCTGGAGTAGGTAATAACTCTGCTAATGATCTGAGGGGTTGCATCTCCCAATTAGCACGTGAGGCTTAAAGATCACTTCTCACCTTAAAAGTATCCTGTGGCTTCTCTCCCTCTATGCATACTTAGAGGATGCATCACGTATTTGCACAAAGTTTGATTTCTTTAGCTAGAGAAAGAACTGGGAATGCAGAGATGACTTCCTGGTATCTTCGGCAGCTCTCTGCACTGACCATACAGATCCTCTGGGTGTTTAGCCCTGGGTGGCAAATCAGGGCTTCAGAGCCACAAACAAGGCAAAGGGGAAGAGACGAGGGGAGGGGGAACTGGAGGAAAAAAAATCTACAAGAGGAGGAAGGAGGTGAGGTGGGGACATGCGTCAGCCAGCTCAGTTGTCTTCTGTGTGTCAGCTTCAGGATGCCGCCCTGTCCTCCGAAGACCTCCACTGCTGGCCCTGGGTGATTCTGTCCTCATACTTGAAAAGACACTGGTTGGCTAGTGTCTGTTCCCTGTCTTATTGGAGTGTTCCTGGGGTTCAAGTGTGTACCTCACTGGGCTGGGAGACGAGGTCCAGGATGGAAAAGCCCAACTCTGCAGAAACAGTGACAATAAATTGGTCACAGTCCACTGTGGCCCAATGCTGGATATCACCTAAATATGAAAATCAGTTTCTGAGCCAGAAGTTCAGTTGCAGCTCTGCAGATTTCTTTTTACAACCATTGAACAATACATATGTACTAGTCTTGTCTTATGACGTCAGTTCTGCCCTTGCCCAGCTTCAGAGCTCCATTTCATAAGCCCAAAGGATGCCTGGAAGTGCACTGGGCCTGGGTCTGTGGCTGTTATGGTTCATATCTAGAATATTCCTCCCCAAACTTATGTGTTAGGAAATGCAGCAACATTCAGAAACAAAAAGATTGGACCATGAAGTTTATAACCTCATTAGTGGATTAATCCACTTGATGGATTAATCATTCAAATGAACCACTGGGTGGTAGCTGGAGGCAGGTGGGGTGTGGCTGGAGGAAGGAGGTCACTGGAGACATGGCCTTGGGGACTATGTCTGTCCCTGGCCCCTTCTTCTCTCTCTCTCTGCCTCTTGGCCGCCATAAGCAGAGCAGCCTTTCCCACCCTGCCTTCCTGCCATGATGTTTCTGCAGCGGAGTCACCAACTGTGGACTGAGAACTCTGAAACCATGAGCCAAAGTAAATCTTCCCTCCTCTCAGTTGTTCTTGACCGGCATTTTGGTCGTAGCAACCAAAAGCCAACGCACACAGTGGCCCGGGTTGGCCTTACCTTTTGCATCTTTCTGAGGTTCTGTTTTGCTGGGAGAAGGACCTTCCTCGGGAGCCTGTTCTCCTGTCTCCTTTGCTCTGTTCTCAGTGCCCGGGGCTCCCTCCTCCTTCTGCAGTGACTGACCGTGGGGCGGGTGCTGGTCTTCAGGTGGGTCTTCTTGCTTCTTGTTCTTCCTCTTCCTCTCACAGGGAACTCTAAACAGAGAAGGAATCCACCATTAGTTCTGAGGGTCTGAAGAATGGAACAGTCCCCAAATGAGTGGCCAGCATGTGGCCGTGAGAACAAGGGGTTGCACTGGAGTCCAGCTTCATGAAGAATGATTTAACCTGGATGAAAAGAAGTTGATGCTCTCGGCAGACTCTTTCCTTCCTTCCTTCCTTCCTTCCTTCCTTCCTTCCTTCCTTCCTTC